GAAATAGGGACCAAGGATCAAATCTAGCACTGGGAATAAGATGGCTTCACAATTAGACGGGTGAAGGAAAGGAATAATGTCAATGTGGTCGTTCCCCATGAAGAAGAAGCAAGCAGGAACTACAACAACAAGATTACATTTGTATAGCGCCTTTCACGTCAGGAGGATGTCTCAAGGCGCTGGACAGTGCACAGCATTTCAGACCCCAACTGGGGTCAGGGGGGAAGAAGGTAGGGGAGGGGAAGGGGGGGGTGACCGATGGCATGGTCGAAGAGGAGGATTTTGAGGCGGGACTTGAAGGAGGCTAAGGAGGGGGTGAGGCAGAGTGATTGGGGGATGGAATTCCAGAGGTTGGGGGCAGAGTGGCTGAAGGCTCTCCTGCCAATGGTGGGGCGGGTGGGTCAGGAGACGTGGAACAGGCCGGAACCGGCTGAGCCGAGGGAGCGGGCGGGTTGGTAGGGCATTAGGAGGTCGCAGAGATAGAGTGGGGCGAGGCCATGGAGGGCTTTGTAGGTGAGGACTGGGATCTGGAACTGGATCCTCTGAAGGATAGGGAGCCAATGGAGTTGGGCAAGAATAGGGGAGATGGGGTCACGGGCTGCTGAGTTCTGGATTATCTGCAGCCTGTGGAAGGAAGAGTTAGGAAGGCCGACAAGCAGGGCATTTGCATAGTCGAGTATGGAGGTGATGAAGGCATGAACAAGAGTTTCAGCGGCCTGAGGGATGAGGTAATGGCGGAGTCAGTCGATGTTACGGAGCTGAGGGAAGGCAGAGCAGGTCAAGGCTTGGATGTGGGGAAGAAAAGACAGTTGAGGGTCGAACAAGACACCTAGGTTCCTGACTGGCTTAGTGAGTTGAAATGTGCAACCATGGAGGTTGATGTTGCCAGAGCCTGAGGTGCAGAGGCGCTGGCGCGAGCCAATCAGATGGGCCTGAATCTTGTTCACATTCAACTGTGGGGAATTTGCCCTCATCCAGGACTTGATGTCCGACAGGCTGTCTGTCAGGACAGCAGTGGTCCTGGAGTTGAGGGTGGAGGCAGAAAGATAGAGATGGAAGTTGACCCCATGTCTGCGGATGATGTCACCAAGGGAGAGCATGCAGATATTAAAGAGGAGAGGGCCAAGGACAGAGTCCTTGGGGACGCCAGAGGTTACAGTGCGGGTGCTGGAGGAGAAACCATTGGAGGCAACAAAGTGGAGACGGTGAGAGAGATCGGAATCGAACCAGGCAAGGGCAGATTCACAAAGATTAAGTAAAAAGGAGAGGTGGTGTATGAGGATGCAGTGGTCGACAGTGGCGAAGGCGGCAGAGAGGTCAAGGAGGAGAATGAGGCAGAGGGAGCCCTGATCACAGATGTTCAGAATGTCATTAGGTTTAACTAGGTTTAATGCTTCACCTTGAAGGACGGCACCTTTAACAAAGTAGCGCTCTCCCAACACTGCACTGGAGTATCAGCCTGGAATGTGTGGTCGAATCCCAACATAAACCTACAACCTTGGAACCTAATGTAGAGAGAGCTACTCACTCGGCGAACAAGAATATTGTAATATAATAATTATATACTATACATTTAATAATAACATAATATATAATGTTTCACCAACAAAATATACAGTCAATTCACCTTACAGTATATTCCGGAAAGAGCTTTGGGATGTCCTCCCAATGTGGAGGGTGCTTTACAAATGTAATTTTGTGTTGTATTCTGTGAAGCGCTTTGAGAAGTCTCGAAGACGTGACAAGGCGCTATATTAAATGCAAGAATTATTATTAGTCGTAGTAGTATCAAGAAAGCAAGGGAACAAGAAAATGCTGGGTCTCCCTACTCTTTCAGCACTGGGTGCTCTCTGGTACCTTGTCTGTACCACTAAGGCTGGGTGGTGGCGTGAGCTTCAACAGTAAATATTGGCGACTGTTAATCCATGGGGAGAGGCACTGAAGCCAAGCCATCCATCTGAAGAAATGAGTTATGATCTCACAGATTATATTCATGTTATTGTTATGTACACAATTCGAAACAGGAGATTGGAACAGAGGAATCTGCGGAACACAGTATCCACGCTTGTCAAGAGCATTCACTCTTTCAAACCATGTGGTCAGAATTGATAAATTCCCAAAGCATTCTCTGCAGATTTGGGCCTCAAAACTTTCCAAGTGGGAGAGAGAGAGAGAGAGAGAGACAGAGAGAGACAGAGAAAGAGAAAGGGAACATTTTCAAACTCAAATGGATAAAACAGGCCCCTGGAAGTGTTAAAGATTCACGCTGATGACTTCGCAGACTCTTTCTCTATCTCTCTCTCTCTGAGAGTGGAATCCTGTAGCTCTGTAGATAGCACTTGCCTCGCAAGCGAGAGACCTGGGTTCGATTCCTGGCAAATTTCCTTACTCCACATGCCTTGGTTTACCTAGCAGCAAGTAGGAACACTGTTTTTAGTCGATTGGCAGATTGCTTTTCTGTGGATAATAATTCCTTCCACAAACGAAAATAGTAATAATAATTTGGTCACTCAATCCACGACTGTTTGGCCGCCACATTTTGCCCACAAGGTATACTGTCAATTCACTTTGCAGTATATTCTGTGAAGTGCTTTGAAACGTCTCAAAGACATGATTAGGCCCTATATCAAATGCAAGGATTATTATTATTAATATTAGTGAGTTGAACGTAGGCTATTGCTGCCAAAGAAGGCCTGTCATGAAGGGGTTTGGAAAGAGAACTTGTACATTTATACTGGGCCTACTGTCTGTCCGCTGCCTTTGAGATTATCCAGGGGGATGTAGTGATTTGCGCCAAACTCCAGTATGTTGTTTGCTGGTGCACTGGAGGGATCAGAGTCCAGCTTTTCATGCTTCCTCAAGCTTGGCGAACCTAAGCACTTCTCAATTTGGCTCACTTCTATCCTGTCCTACTCTTTTCTTTTCAGTGGCCTTCTTCTCTACGGGTTACTTGCACCTTTCACCTCGGCTTCTTGTACAACGAAATGTCGACATGGCTCAGACGGTAGCGCTCTCACCTCTTGAGTCAGAAGATTGTGGGGACTTTGAGCTCACTTAGTCTTGGCTGACACTCCACTGGAGTGCTGGGGGGAGTGCTGCATTGTCAGAAGTGCCATCTGTGCCTCTTCAGGTAGACGTTAAAGATTCCGTGACACTATTTGAAATGAGAAGGGAGTTTCTTCCGATGTCCTGGCCAACAATCCCCCAGAGAGAAATAAAATTAGTCATTCACTTCACAGCTGTTTGTACGATATTGCTGTGCGCATATTGGCTGCTCTGTTTGCCTACGAAGTTCACAATCATTGCAGTATATCCTCTGATGTCTTTTGAGATGTTTCAACAATGTGGTAAGGTGCTATACCTAAACGCTCCGAGATGTTCCCCTTCGTGAAGAGCAATATATAAATACAAGTTGTTGTTATGTTGTACATCAAATGGAGTCCTGTAGCATATTGGTTTGAGCACTCACTTCACAAGTGAAAGGACCCAGGTTTGATTCCCAGACTGGGCAAAATGTTAGGCAAGTTTCCTTACTTTTCAAGTTTACAAGTTTCATGCCTCTGCAGTAAGTAGGAACCCGGTTGTTAGTCGATTGGTGAAGGGTAATAATCCCTTCAAAAAACAGACCCAGGAAGTGCTGTACATTCACACTGATGATTTCACAGACTTTCTCTCTCTCTGAATCTCAGAGTGGAGTCCTGTAGCTCAATGGTTAGCACTCGCCTTGCAAGCGAAAGACCTGGGTTCGATTCCTGGCAAGTTTCCTTACTCCACACGCCTCGGTTTACCTAGCAGGAAGTGGGAACACGGTTATTAGTTGATTGGTGGATTGCTTTTCCGTAGGTCATAATTCCTTCCAAAAAAGAAAATAGTAATAATAATTTGGTCACTCAATTTACGACTGTTTGTTGGACACTGCTGTACACAATTGGCTGCCACGTTTTGCTCACAAACTATACAGTTCACTGTACAGTATATTCTGTGAAGCACTCCAAGGCACTGTCTGGCGTGAAAGGCACTATATAAATCCAATTTGTTGTTGTAGTACTTTGAGACGTCTCAACAACTTGATAAAACACTATATCAAATGCAAAGTTTATTATCCTTCTTATAAAGGCGGGTAATTGGAAGTGAGGTATAGATCAGCTGTGATCTAATAGAATGGCGCAGCAGGCTCGGAGGGGGCTGAATGGCCTACTCCGGTTCCTATGAGCATCCAGATTAAATCTAAATCTAGCTCCAATGGTCATACCGAGACTACAACACTAGAATAGGGCCATTGCTCAACATACCTGTACATACAAAGTCATCACAAGACAACACTGAGGCCCTTCAACCCATCTGATCTCACTCTTGGGTAATCTCCACCTACCGTCCTCCCATTTTACAGCACAAAGTCGTTCCTGCGATAAAATCGCATGTTCCTTTGCAATTGATCTGAAGCAGAACAAAGAAATGGACATTTTCCCTTTTAATACAACAATTGAGGTTTACACAGCACGCTTCATGCAGGGTAGCGTCTCGGAGCGCTACACAACAACAACAGCAACAAAATTACATTTGTAAAGCGCCTTTCATGTCTGGAGGACGTCCCAAGGCGCTGGACAGACAGACTTCCAAACCCAAGCTGAGGGTCAGGGTGGGGGAGGGTGAAGGGCAGGGGGGAAGCAGGGATATCGAAAGCACGGTCGAAGAGGAGGGTCTTGAGGTGGGTCTTGAAGGTGGCGAGGGAAGGGGCGAGATGGAGGGACTACAGGCTGGAGTTCCAGAGGGTGAGTGCAGAATGGCAGAAGGCCCGCCCGCCAATAATGGGGCAAGCAAGGCGGGGGCGTGAAGCAGGCCAGACCCCACTGAATGGAAGGAGCGAACAGGGCGGTGGGGGTAAGGAAGTCAGAAAGGTAGGGAGAGCAAGACTGTGGAGGGCTTTGAAGGTGAGGACCAGGATCTTGAACTGTATCCTCTGTGTGATGGGAAGCCAGTGGAGTTGGGTAAGGACGGGGATGATAGAGTCGTCGAGCCTAGTGCGGGAGAGGACAGTGGCAGGGTTGAACACCAAGCAAGGGAGAAGGGAGACAGTAGGACCTTTTGAAGAGGTAGGTCTTAAGGTCTTAAGGGATTTAAAGATAAGTAAATAGGGTGTGAGGTAGAGGCCAAGTGTTAAGGTGGGATTGAAAGATAGAGAGGGGCAAGATAGAGGAGACGGGCGGAATTCCAGAGATTAGGGTGACTGAGAGGGTGGTGTGATGGTCCAAGATCCCACTTGAGAAAAAGTCTGGCAGTTTGCAGTCTGTTTTGGTGGGACAAAATAAGAGCAGAATTGTGCATTGAACTTTGCCTGGAGGAGGACGCTGTAGGAAATGATCTAGGTTTGCAACAAACACATAGAGCTCCCCCAGGCCCCTGGTATCAGAGTCAGTGCACAGAGCGCTTGTGATTTGGGAATTATTCCCTGTGTGTGGGAACAGGGTCTGCACAGCACAACGCAGCACAGTCATTCTTTGTTGTCATCACCTTTCCATCTCACAGGACCGAGGCAAGAGCCTGACCTTGTATAAACCTCATTCCCCCCCCACCCTTTTAAGACTCATGAATTAAGCCTTGCATTCTCTTCTACTGAAGCCTTGTTTCAAAGTAAAGCTTCAAATTATGGAGGCAGCGAGTTGAAGGGAAAGAGGTTTTCGGGCAAGATCCTGATCTCCAGCCAGATGTCCCTCCCATCACCACCACCATCGGAGCCCGAGCTTTCACACCTTCCAGATGTGATAATTATCACCGTCGAAATTCATCATATTACGTACTGCATTTTTGCACACACACAGCCCTACACACACACACCCCTCCCCCCAAGAATAATAGAGAAGCGAATCATTCACCTCACGGCTCTTTGCATCCGTAAGTGGATAAGAAGTGTGAAACGCTTCGAGAGATCCTCCCAACTTGAAAGGCATTGTATCAAATTAGAATTCCATAAAGGATCGTTTCCCCCTCCCACTGACTCCCTCCCCACCACCACCCCCGTCAATTTACTGAGGAAATTGCTAACGGCAACCCCTCCCACCACCATCGTCGATTAATAGAAAACATCTCCATCGATTATGCGTCGTATGAAAATTCGCTCTTCACATTATCAGATGGGTGTAGCAAAGCAGAGATGAAAACAGTTACTGTGTACTTGGACGGTGACTGGGTTGTTTTTCATTTTCATGGATGAATTGGGATCAGAGGGTCATGGACTGCAGCCAGAGATTCCCTGGTCCCTCCCCCTCATCTCCACTCCCCTCCTGATGGATTGTAGTTACAAAAACACACATGTTTGGAATTGAAGGCAAAGCGTTATTTTTACGGTTTGCCTGGGTTTCAGCTCTCCCGGGTTAGAAGTTAACTCAATATGTATCCAGTGTTTCAAGGCTGTCTATGCACACTTAGATAATAAAAATCTTTAAATCTGATGTAACACTGAAACGTCTCAAAGGGGCATTTGCTGCAAAGCACAGTGATTGTATATTTATGGGCAAATGCAGCAGCCAGTTTGCACAAGGCAGTGTCTCTCCAATAGCCACATAGTGAACAATCAATTTCATCTGGTGGATTGTTGATCAGGACACCGGGAGGAATCCCCTTCTCTTTTCAAGTAGAATCAGCATCTTTTCTGACTACCTGAACAAGAGGACGTAACTTTGGTTCAACGTATTATCTGAAGGACGGCACCTCCAACAATGCAGACTTTTTTTTTTTAACCGTGTTTGTTGATCTTGGGGAATTTTTGAGGCAAAACGCCGCATCGTTTAAGTGCTGTGAGACTGTACCCTGCGTGAAAGGCACTATATAATTGCAAGTTGTTGTTGTTATCGTCTTTCTTGGGTCATCAGCAGGACTTGGACGGGCAGAGGATCACTGGGGGCAGAGATCCTTCCCACTCAGCTCCTTTTAAGCCTGCAACCCAAAGTTCCAGCTAAGGTGGTCCAAGCTGGACAAGCAACGGGAAGCTTGCCAGACAATGCTTTCAATGGCCTATGTGATTTTAGCTGGTTAAACTCTCCCAATATCCTACCATATACGCTGGGGTTTCTAAGCCTTAGCTGCCACCAACCCATATCAGCACTCTCTGTAATCAGGTAAGCAGCGTGCGCCCCTCTGGGGAGAGATTGCGCATTCCATTATAGGCACAGGGATTCTTTGAGGCAAAGGTGAATATACGGTTTGGATTGTGGTTTGGAATATTCTTAATCATGTTGATGGGTTTCCGCATATGTCAGACACCCGGCCCACTGAAAAAAATGTCATTCATCATGTCGCTGACTTCCGAACTCAGGTTACAAATACTCGCATTTTACTTTGCTCATCTTTCAAAGAGTATCTCATTTTATCCCAGACTCCAGGCCCATTCCCATGTGATATACATTACACAATGATAAATCTCTGCCTCTCAGCACAACTCAACCGTGAGTGATTGCAACAGTATTCTCATTTGTATTGAGAACACTAACAGAGCCTCCCCTTATTTCGCTGAGAGAAAGAGAGAACGGAATCCCCCGTGATGTAATAATAATAATATAATAATCCTTGCATAAAGCGCCTTATCATGTCGTTGAGATGTCTCAAAATGCTTCACAGAATACATTGTAAAATGGATTGACTGTGTATTTGCAGGCAAAACCCAACAGCCACTTGCGCACAGTAGTATCCCACAAACAGTCGTGGTTTGAGTGGCCACATTGTTGGGGGGAGGGATTATTACTCCCGAAAAGTGATCCGCCAATCAACTAACAGCAGGGTTTCTACTTACTGCTAGGTAAACAGAGGCATTTGAGTAAGGAAATTTGCCAAAGTTTCTCCCTGCCCGGGAATCGAATCCGGGTCCTCTTGCTTCCAAGGTGAGTGTTCTAACCAATACGTTACAGAATTACACAAATCTACACAATACCAGTAAGGGGGAGCTGAGGAATAGGAGGCACCAGAGATCTTACAGGGAGAGCTTGATAAAGTTTACGCATGGTTTGATAATTGGCAAATGAAGTTTCACAGTAATGCATGTAGGATCCAAGAATAGGAAACGCATGTACTCCATGGATGGGATAGAACTTTCCAAGGGGGAAGCTGAAAAAAATCCAGGAGTATTAATTTACTCATCACTCAGTATGTCAAAATAGTGTTGGGCAACACATGACTAGACAGACAAGATGCTGGGCTATATTGCTAATTAATCTGAGCTCAGATCCCCAGATATCATTCTCAAGCTCGGCAGTGTGGTCGCACCTAGTACAGCTCCAATGATGCTCGCAGGTCAGTGACAGCACAGGTGAGAGACAGAGTAAAGCTCCCTCTACGCTGTCTGTCCAGCACTCCCAGGTTAGCTACAGAAAGGGTTAGATACAGACTAAATCTCCATTGTACACTCTTCCTGGTCAGGTAAACATTTTGCATGTGAAAATCCCATTTTACAGATGTCACTGCACTGATTTGTCTCCCAGCTGGAACAATAAAACAGCGTGGACCACATCAGATCAATACACACAGAAGAAGTCACAAGTGTAACGGAGATGGCAAAAGCAGGTAGACAATGGTCTGGATTCTCCAGATATCCTGACTATTATTCAGCAAGAAATCTCAGTGAAAGATTCACTCGGACACTACCAGGGATGAGAGGACATCAATTAATTTTACGGAATATACGGTGCAGAACAGGTCATTCATTCCTTGTCAGTGTCCAGACACTCCTTAATTTCTCCCAAACCCTTCTATTCCCTTCTCCCTTGTGTGTATATATCGCTTTCCTCTTGAATCCATCTATACCATCTGATTCAACCACCGCTTTAGGCAGTGAGTTCCACAATCTCATTGCCCTCTGCATGAAGTAGTTCTTCCTGTCGCTATATTTGTATCTTATGAAGAGAGACTTGAGAAGTTGTGGATTTATTTCACTGGAGCTTAAGGGGGGAATCAAACTAAGGTCTTCAAGATTGTGATGAGTTATGGCAAGTTAAATGGTTATTTCTACACGATAGTGAGTAATGAGAGGGACACAAATCTGGGATATCCACTAAAGGGAATTAAAGGGGAAAACTGACTTTACATGGAGGGTGTTTGGGATGTTTAATTCTCTGCCATAAACAGTTGTTGACCATCAATGGACAAATATAACAATAATAGTAATAATACTTGCATTTGATACAGTGTGTTTGAGGATGTCTCAAAGCACTTTGCAGGTTTCACGTGAAGTGACTGTGTATTTTGTAGGCAAACGCAGCAGTCAATTTGCACACAGCAACGTCCCACAAATGGCCAAATGGGGATTGTTAGCCAGGACAACAGGAGAAACTCTTTTTGAATGCTGTTATGGTTTCTTTAATGTCCACCTGAACAGGCAGGCAGAACCTTGGTTTCACGTCTCATCCAAAAGAACGGCACTTCCGACAATACAACACACACACACCAGCACTATTCATTTGCGTCATCCTAGACAGTTAGCTCAAAGCCCCTGACTTGGGTGCTTGAACTCAGAAATGTACTAACTCGGAGGAGAGAATGCTATTAACTGAGACTGAGGCAGGCTGACAGCTATGTCATCTGAAAGGAGAAATATTAAAGGATGTGTGTGTGAATGGCCTGTTTCTGTGCTGTAATATTCTGGGATACATCTTACAGCAGGGAGCTGCAGGCCTTACTGTTAGCGGAGACAAAACAGCATTCCAGGCAGTCACAGAAGAGTTTGTTAATTGTATTTCTTCAATTTATGTTCTTTCCGCATTCTGTCCAACTGAAATAGGCTCCAGTCCCAGCAGATTGCTGAAGGAGACACTTAAAGTCAATTAAGAGCTCTCTCGGTCAGTCCTTAAGTGCAGTTATCATAAAATTACACAGCGTTTCCTACAAGATGCTGTGATCACAGCGCCTCGCTAGCCTCTTCACATTTCAAGGCATTTGACCTCAGGCAACTCACTGTGTAAAAACAGCCGTATTGTAAACAGGAACGCTGAATGATTGCGGGGGAGGGAGGGAAACTGAATGGGCATCGGTGTGGATGGATAAATGGCAACATCTCTGGGAACTGGAAGTTGAGTAACTTGTACCCTGCTGAATACGTTACACAACC